AAAGCTGAGGTCAGAACATTGCTTCCGTGAAGGTTCAGTGGAGGGGTCATCCGGTTAAAGAGGTGACTTGGGAGACCGAGCATGATATGCGCAGCTGTTATCCACACTTATTCACCAGCTTAGGTTCTTTTTCTAACTCCGTTCGAGGACGAATGTTTGTTTTAGAGGTGGAGAATGTGATGACCCAAAATGTCATCTTTAAATTTAATAATTAATTTTGTATTCTAAGACCTCGAAAAGCACTATTTATCATTTCTCGACTTGCGTGCGCAGTCCGTAAAATTTTCCGGAAAGTTTTCAGGTGAAAAATAAGATATTGTGAATTTGTTTATGATTTGGGACTACGAGGCGGTACCTCGGGAGTACCCTTGTTGATATTGATTTATGGCCGCAGTTGCCTTTGATTATTATGTGATTTTCTTAAAGTTAAAAAGAATTCTGTTTTATTTTTACGAGATATTTATTTGTCATTATTTGATATAATTAAATGTGACATACTACTTGATTCATTTCTATTGTCATTTTATCTTATAATATTGTTTAAACATTTTATCATGCCATTATTTATTCTCCAGTAGGGCGTGACCTGACCTTGTCACTACTCTACCGAGGTTAGGCTTGACACTTATTGGGTACCGCTGTGGTGTACTCATATTACGCTTCTGTACATCTTTTTATGCAGATCCAGGTACATCTTATCAGACCACGCATCAGTAAACTAGCTGTACGAGGAGACTTCGAGGTATATCTGTCAACGCCCGCAGACTCCGGAGTTCCCTTTTATTCTTGTGATATTGCTTTCTTATTTTCTTTAGACTCTGTTATATAGAGACATCGAGGATAAATTCTTAGAAGCTTGTGACTTATTTCTACCGGGTTTTGGGAGTTGAAATTGTTTGAATTGTAGTTTAATTATTTCAGATATTTATTATTATTCCGCATTGATAGGCTTACTTAGTTTTAGAGACTAGGTGCCATCACAACATCATACGGAGGGAATTTGGAGTCGTGACAAAATATATTCACTGATTAAGTAAAAATAATAGATTTCGAGCAATAAATCGACAAGTTGTGGTGGAACTCCAAACTCGAACCGACAATATTCAAGTTCTGAATTTGTCTCTATTAGCTGTCTGCATTCCACAGTTAGCGGGGGAGAAACAGAAAGATGCAGGGCAGATCTCAAACTAATTAACTTCAGCATTATTATAACATGAAATCCTAGTCTCCATAAAATAAAGATTGCCATCCAACAAAATAAATTGTTGTAGGATGTTATTGAAGGAAAAAAAACAAAACAAGAATATTGACATTCTAAGCTTTATTGGTGTAAGTACAAAATTTACAAGCTAAAGCCTATTCAAATTTTGACTACATTAGTAAGTGACAAAATTATCTAACAATCTTTGAAATAGGTGAAAATCGTGAAATTAAAGTTCCTACATTAGTATAAACAAAAAAAATGTGATTTTTTTTCATCTGAATAAAACTTTGTGGATAGAATTATCCGACACTTGTGTTGATCAAGTGATAGTTTGCCAAGCCACCGGGCCAACACATACATTTAAGTTCTTAACGGTCGTTTTTGGTTTGAAGATATGTTATGTTGAGAGTAGTTATACTGAAATTAGTTATCTTGGTATTATTTTTTATTAACTGTTTGACATGTTGTATTAATCCTGAGAATATTAATTTTACTGTTTTATCCTTGGATTACTATTCTATCCTCTTGCAGGTATAAGTTATCCCGAAATTATTTTTAATCCTGAGACAATTTATCCCAGAATTAGTAACCAAAAAAAAATAATACGATACTAAATTTTTATCCAAGAATAATTTTTATTTATCCATCGTACCAAAATACCCTTCAAATAATGACTAGCTAGGAAGGAATTCTCGTATCTCATTCGACCCTATAGCATCCTGGCATCTTCTTTGGCTAATAGGTCAGCAACTTGATTTTGTTCCCTGGACGATAAGGTGCTCCTATCGGTTAATTAATATCCTGCCATCATTGAAAATGCTAACATAAATAGAATTATCATTATTAAGATACTTAATCAAGTTACATTTGTTTATAAGATATGGAGTAACTGTTACCATATATTATTCATATCCTATTCAAGGTAAAAAAAAAAAAATTAAAAATTCCAACTGAAATTTCTAATATTTCTTGCAGAGTTGGCAGGTGTCACCATTTCTAGCTTCTGGTCTCGTCAGACGTATCAATACTATGCTGCTAATTATGGTTTTCAACAACTACGAGCTAGAAAGAGGTTGTCTCGTATCTTTTGCTTTGCTTTTCTTTTCGTTACTATTTACTGTTGTGAACCCGCGTGACTCAGTATGGGATTATGAGCTAGAATTATACAACAAAGCTGATCCAGCTGAGAGTATTGGGCCTGAAGATAAACTGAGAAGGGGCCCAATGACTAAACAGTCGAATAGATTGCCAGGACATTATATTTGGGATCAAGTAGGAATACAAGACATGAAAATTATGTTTAGTTTCGGCTCAAGTCTATGCTTCTCGTCTCCTCTTCTGAATCTGTATCTAATCCCCTTTCTTCTTAGCTTGCGGTTGTAGTTTCTTTTTCTCATCTCATCTCTATTCAATATTGTTTTCTATTATTCTACGGACATTTGGTTATTGTAATTTCATTTGGTAAGTTAATACAATCAATTGGTTTGGGTATAATATCGGCTTTGTTACACTGATCATTTGAATAAAGATGGTACTCGTGTTGTGTTAGTTCTGAAAATCTTGGTTCAGTTCTTTGTATTAGGGGTGTGCATAATACCGACCGAACCGCAAATTTCGGTTTATTCGATTTCGGTTTATTCGGTCGGTTTGCGGTTTATATTTTCTATAATTTCGGTGTTCGGTTCGGTGCTCGATTTTGCAATTTCGGTTTTCGGTTAAACTGAAAAACCGAAATTTTCTAATATGGGTCCTAACCTCTGGGCTCCTTTTAAGTTGTCTAACCCAACTTTTCCACATATTTACATTATAAAATTTGAAGCCCAAACACAAATAAAGTCCCACATTCAAAAATTATCCCTTTTTATTTGGAGGAAGTTTTAAAACTAGGCACGGTTTCAAACAAAATCACATAATCCTAGCATCATAAGGAGATTTACATAGATGACAACAGAATATTTCTTTCCATATCAGAAACTTATAACAAACAAAATCTCTCACTTAATCACGCTTTTTTCATATCCCATCCAAACCCTTTCTCTTTTTTTTTTTTCTAAATAAGTATTAATTATACAAAATGGCATAATGACAGAATAATACCAATATATTTATGATAATTCTGGTATTTTCATATTTTAATTAGAAATATTTTATTATATGAATGATATAATCGCGTTTTTGAGTTTTAGTTGCACTAAAACATGAAATTAGTCATATTTTTTAGTAGAAAAAGTTCGATTTAAAAGCTCAATATGACAAAACCAAATCAACCGAATTGAACCGAAAATCGACCGAACCGAATTAGCAAAAATTGAAGAAACCGAACTAATTTTGGTTCGGTTATTGGTGCATCAAATAGAAAATTAAAAATCGAACAAATCGAACCGAACTTCATAAAAACCGAACTGAACCGGCTAGTTTTAAGTATTAAGTGGAGAACTCTCACTTCAATAATTCCCCTCACAATTACATGTGTTGGAGAAAAAGCTCAAAAAATCTGTTTTTGTCGTAATTAGTTGCAAAATTTAAGCCCTTTGGTAAAAGTTGAAGGAGGTATCAAAATTTAAAGTACTTCTATTTTTAAAACAGTATTTTAAAGGAAATTACTCAATGTGATGCAATATCAAGTAAGAAGGGAGGTCTTATACTATATATTTCTCAAATATAAGAGATGGGAAATGACTTTTGTCGATTGGAGGAAAAACCAAGTAATTGTCTTTCATTTCAAAGTAGTATACATAAATGCACATATATACACACATATATACTCCCTCCTTTTAATTTACTAGGTTCTTCTTTCTGTTTTGGAAATGTTATTAAGATAATAATATTAGTCTTACTGTATTCAAATGCATGTGGATCTAAAAGTATAAACCGAAAGCTACTATAATTTTTTCAAAGCTGAGACTTCTTTAATATATAAAAGAAGTGGTCACCATACTTTTTTTTTTAATAAAAAAATATAGAATATTAAAAAATTGTGTTAAGACTACGTCTTCTTTTGGAAAGTAAAAATAATTGAAAATGACTAACAAACAATTAAATTGAGATGGATGAACCGGAATTCCTTCTATATATTTTGCACCCTTAATGTGACGGTTTTTTTGCCATAATATACTATTTAGAAAAGAATAGTGTTTTTATAGTAAAACAACAACAACAAAATAATGTTTTTTAATGTTTTTATATTAAAAAAATTTTAAAAAATAAAATATATTTTACTCTTAATAAGGTGTTTTTATATTAACAATTTTATGACATATTTAGGAAATAAATTCAATTTTTCTTTCTGTTAAATTTCATGTTCAATTAATGAGGGAGTGCTATTCTTTTGGCACAAGGTGTAATAAAAATGAAAAAGAAAAGTCAACTTCTCCAATCAAAACAACATGATTGTATCAGTTATTTGCAATTCGTAGTGTACCTTCCAAGCCGCCAGGCAACTAATGGTAAAAGATTGGCAGAAAAATCCAAAGAAAATTCACTCTCTGTCCAAACCATGATACTAGCTAGATTTTTCATTGTACTATTCCCTATATTTCAATTTATGTTAATATATTATTTTTTAGTCTGTGAAAAAATATTTCTTTTCATATTTAAAAATAATATGTAATAATTTAAAATTACACAAAAAATATATATTTTATTATACACCACAAGTTAATTTTTTTTATTTATATTGTAAGCACATACTACACCTACTAGTTATACAGCCTCTATGATCAAATTCCAATTGTAACAATTTCTTAAAGATTATTTAATTCATTTCCATAACTTCTCCCAATATTAAACTTCTTACTATAATAATAAATTACCTCAAAATTTCAAAGTCTATAGTTCAATATCTCCCGGTCAACTCTACCACCAAACTAATAATCAAAATTCTCACATAGTAAACCGAATCAGCCAAATCCATTTCTGGGTTTTGATCTTTACACATCAATCTCAAATGGGTCGGAAGCCAAATGATTCCGAACCCACTCGTTATGCCACTATGATCCTTCTTTTAATGGGTCTTGTTTCTTGTACCGCCGTGTACATTTTCATGTCGGCAGTAATGAGACCTGCCGGAAGTTCTGTGGTTGAGCGGTTAGCGGCGGAGGAAGGTGAATTTAGCGGTGGCGGTGGTGGTGAAGGGGAGGGTGAATGTTGTAGTGGGATCGAAAGTTTTGAGCTTTGGGGAACTGCTGTAAAGTGGGGTTCTGATTTTAAGGTTAATAGTTCTAAAGAATGTTGTAAGGCTTGTAAAGCTATGTGTACGGGTAATCATGGGCCTTGTCTTTGTGATACGTGGGTTTTTTGTGGAAATAAAAAAATTTGTGGTGACAAATTTGGTGAGGTGAGTTCGAAAAACCTTTTCTTTTTCTTCCTATATGGTGTTTTTAGTTGTAAGTTATTGGCAGTTTGAAATGATTTGTATGTTTAACTCTGATAAACCATACAAAGTTTGAACCTTTAATTATGAAAGAACATGCAAATATAATGCAATAAAAGATAGGACATGAGTTAGTGAATTGTGATGTTGGTTTTTGAGCTAATCACAGAAGTGAACATAACCAAACCCAACTCAACCACATGAACCTGCTTTTTTGCTCGACAATCAGGAGAATTAAATGAGAAATTGTCAGAATTAACCTCTTTTGTCCTAATGATTATCAAGAAAAGAAGGCGGACCGGGGAAGGTTTCAAAACCAATCAATTGGGCCTTTCAGAATAAGTTTTTGGAGGCTAAAGCTGTTAACTGACGTTCTCAAAGCTAAAAGCTAATAATGGCTGAACACTGAAGCAGGGCTTAGTTTGAGTAAAGCCCTCATGTACTTAAATTTGGCATCTATTAGTTCTGCGTTCATTTTAGATTAGGTTGTCTTAAGATTATCTTTTGGTATTTTAAGTTATTTTATGAACTACCATACACCACATAAATTAGAGTTTGACTGTTTGGTCTGGCGTGTCTTGCTCGGTGATGTAGTGCTGGTTGAAGAAGCAGAAAGATACTTTGGCTCCTGATAGACAGGAAGCAGGAAACAAGGTTATGTGGACGTCTGGCATTGTTTTTGGAAAAGGAGAGGTATACAACTTTCTCAACAAACTAAAGTGTAAAGTGATGTTTCTCTGATATCGTGATTACTCTTCATTGTCCTCTTGTCAACAAATAAATCCAACAGTGAGAATACATTTGTATGTTACTTATAAATCCTTAAAACTTTTGCAATGTTTGAAAATTGATTTAGTTTTAGATAATTTTTGAGATTCTTTGGGAACATGATACATCTCGGAAGAATTTCGTTCTCTTGGTAGCGTCTCTGCTCTGTTAATTCTAATTCTTCCTCATATTTATTCTTGCTACACCTGAGAAACCATAAAATTCCTTCATATGTGTAGAAAATCATATTACTACCTCCTCATAGCTCTTAAACATTTTGAAAATCTTCATGGTTTAACTGCTAAAATTTCTCTTTTCAATCCCACTGCTTCTAGGGAATTGTTGCCTTGGAAACAGAATTTGGTGCTATTCACGTCAAGGTATGTTCTATTTTTTTGGTGAATGCATACTTCCATATATCTTGCTTCTCGCCACAGACAAAATGACAGTATCTAAATGAATGCTGCGCAGTTGCAATTCATTCCATAACTATATGGATTAGCCTTTATAATGCATTTTGAATATCTCAGTTTCGAAACCAAGTGATTGGTGAAAAGTTCTCAATAGAATCCTGGAAATGAGCAGTAGTCTATGAGGTTTAACTTTAATAGGATATTTAAATCGTATCTCCGCCAACATTGAGGTGTCTTTTGAAAAAGAATAATAAACAATGATGAAAAAGTAATAATAAGTAAGGAATTAAAAGCAATGATTTGAGGAAGCTCTTGCTTAAAAAGTTGATTTTGCTGATCATGCTTGAAGTATTTCCACGACTGCGCCTTTTCAAGTCTGCATGTTCCTATTTCTCAAACCTATAGGGTACGGTTCGTTACGGATGGGAGGGGATACAGTATGACTTTATACTGAAATTTAGCATCTATTAGATGTGTACACTGCTGTATCACTTTTCAGAGTCACTATACTTGGCTTTAGTCTAGTCCTTTCCCTTAACCCGGATTTGCTAATTTCTTTTGATATGACTGTCTTGTATTTCTTCTTAATTTTCTGCAGCTTTTGCCAGAATGTTCCCCACGCTCAGTTTTTAACATTTTGGAGTTGTTGGGGTTGCGCCATTGTGCTGGTTGCCAATTTTTTCGTGCGGAAACTCGCGGACAAATTTGGGATACACACGGAGATCACATAAAAGATGTAAATGTTCATCTCTCTTCTACAGTTTTACATGTGACTTCTAATCTTAAACAGCTTCGTTTTAACTACATGA